GAGGAAGACTGGCCCTGGGCTAACATCTGTGCCCATCTTCCTCCACTTTATATGGGACGCCACCACAGCATGGCTTGCCAAGCAGTGTGTCGGTGCGCACCCAGGATCCAAACCGGTGAACCCCAGGCCGCCACAGCAGAATACGCGCACTTAACTGCTTGTGCCATCAAGCGGCCCCAGTCACTGACAGATTTTATTTATTTATTTTTATTTTTATTATTTTTCCCCCAAAGCCCCAGTAGATAGTTCTATGTCATAGCTGGACATCCTTCTAGTCGCTGTATGTGGGATGCAGCCTCAGCATGGCCAGAGAAGCAGTGCGTTGGTGCGCGCCCAGGATCCGAACCCGGGCCACCAGCAGCGGAGCGTGCGCACTTAACCGCTAAGCCACGGGGCCGGCCCCACTGACAGATTTTAAACAGTGGAGTGACAGTATTTGATTTGCTCTCTATAAAGATCATTCTAGGGGCTGGCCCCATGGCGTAGCGGTTAAGTGCGCGTGCTCTGCTGCTGGCGGCCCGGGTTCGGATCCCGGGCACGCACCGAAGCACCGCTTGTCAGGCCATGCTGTGGTGGCATCCCATATAAAGTGGAGGAAGATCGGCACGGATGTTAGCTCAGGGCCAGTATTCCTCAGCAAAAAGAGGAGGATCAGCATGGATGTTAGCTCCGGGCTGATCTTCCTCACAGAAAAAAAAAGTTCATTCTAGCTGCAATAAGCCAAGAGAGTGAAGGCAGGGGACCCAACTGGGAGGCTGATGCAGTCAACCAGATGAGAGATGAAGGAAATGAGGGAAAGTTGTAAAGATCTGAAAGATGGAGTCTGAGTTTTCTAGGGAGTTGGGGTTTAGTTCTCAAAACCGTTGAATTTTACCCGAGTCAAATCAAGAAGCAAATGAGGCCACTGTGACAAAGAGAAATCTAAAATGAGAACAATTCATAGAGCAAGGACAATATCCAAGATAGAGCCAGGGACTGGTGAAAACAAGAAAAATGTGAATTTTTCTGTAAATTCTTAGAAGAAACACAAGCAGTTATAAAACTGAACGCTAATAAGCACTCAGATCAACAACAGATGGTCAGATAGATACATTCGCAACTTGCCAGAATTCTGAAGCCTTGTGCACCCCCTTCCAAACATGCAGATGCTTTGATCTGAGGGGAAGAAAATTCTATTTCTGATTCTGACAGCAAGCACTAAGTCACATCTTGCCAGTAGAGAAGTGTCTCCCAACCACAAACCCACCGAGGATTTCACAACCTTATTCTCATTCTGGAGAGAGAGGCTGTCTTTGACCACTACTTCCACCAGCCCTGCCAGAAAATACAAGGAAAATAAGTGAGGAGGGACAGTTTCTGCACAACTCAGCTTTTTCATCTGCACCCAAGAAAGTAGATGTATGTCTCTAGATTATTCATGAGCAGCCCACGTGTTATTCTGTAAAGAAAAATCATGCATATCAAACAAATTTATCCCTACATTCTGAAAAATGGCCTGAGGCAAAGAGGCTGACAATTTCTTCAATTACTCTGAGCTGTTTAACTCTCCACTGACAAGAGATTGAAGAATTAATTTTCTATATTATTACCCTTTGTGCCTTTTCAAAAGGTTAAGGTTTAATATCAAGCATATCAAGTTCCTAGACTAGCTGGTTTTGGTATAAATACACATTCTTGGATCTGACTTATGAATGTCTAGTTTGCTAGAGATAGGATTTTTACACGGTATTTTTCCCCTAATCCGTTCACACAACAAAAAATATTCAGAGACGTTCTTTTTAAAGGAAATCCTTTCCACACACACACACCCATGTAGTGTCTCAATTTTTGTATATTCTGTTGAGACAGCTTGGTTTTGGAAGCAAAGTAGTATACTAGTTACATTCAACATTCTTCCCATACCAGAACAGGTAAAATTTAGACAAACATGGTTGTCTTAGATTCCTAAGGTATATGATGCACTGAACTGACATACTACAGAATTCAGGAAATAATCACTAAAGGACTCAACTTCCTGACTCAACATTCTCTCTGAGAGTACCCCTTCTCGTTTTCTCCAAATAATGCTCCTGAATCAAAATTTCAACCTATCAAAACTCAGGCAACCAGCTGCAAGATCAATAACATCTAGCAGATCTCACTAATTATTAACAAAACATCAATTAATTTTACATAGTTACTTATATATCTCACTTTGATCAAATTTATGAGACTCAACATAGTTTCTAAAGTTATAGGCAGATTCCCTCAAATAATTATCACCATCACAATCCAGCAGCACATAAACTGCTCATAGACACTTTTACACAACGCTTTAAGTGCAAATAAGAGATGTGTTTAATATCCCTTTGAGGAAATTTCAAGATTAATTTCAAGGGTATATAAATACCCCTCAGAAACACATGAAATTCTTGCCACAGACCGCCCAGGGGATAGCCTTTTCACGATATGTACTCTGAGAACAATACTTACCGGGTTAAGCGTCTCTTCAACAGAATGGTGAACGGTCCACCAGTCTGAGGTCCACTCCCACGCATTCCCTACTATATTGTATAAGCCATAACCATTGGGAGGAAAGGCGTCAACCTAAAAATAAAAAAACGAAAAATGCTGTCAAACTACTCACCTTGTTTAGAAAACCTCTTAGGTGCAGAATTGCACTAAGAGCTATAACTTCAAAGTATGAATATTTATTTTCATTCCAACAGTCAAAATATAATTTGGCCAATATAAAATCAAAGAGAGAGACATTTTTTGGCTTTGAGCTCTCAAAGGAAGTTTAGAAACCTAAGGAGAGTTTATGTTACATGTAGGAAAGCCAGTGAAATTATTCCTAACAGAGAGACTAATATTGACCACAAATCAAATCTGTGGGGGGTAGATGATATTTAGACCTTCAAAAGCATAACAGGAACATCCTATTAGACCCAATATGAGTCTTGTCATCAGAGCTGAGCTATGCTGGCCACACAATGTCCCTTAGCCCTGAGAGACTCCAAGCCAATTCTGTCCTCTCCACCAGCCCCCTCCAACTCACCATCTTATCTGTAAGTCTCAGTCGTTACCATCAAAACACTGAGGGGACTTGTTTTTATAAAGAAATGTGAATTTATTATCAAGCATATTTGTAACAGAGGGTTTGCAGTCTCTGGAATCTGGAAGTATGAGGCAAACTGTACAGGTGCTTCAGCAAGCAATTATATCACATTCCAAAGGCAGGTCAGACAGTCTGCCACATAATATTGTCACAGACACAGAACCAAAGTGTAAAGCTTTTATAAGAAAGAGGATGGGGAGGGGAGCAAGAGAAAAAACTTTAACTGAACAATAGTAAATGCAGGACAGTTTTGCTATTTTAGTGACAATTTTTTTTCCAACATTTTTAATGGAAATCCTCAAACACAAAGAAAAATTTCATTTTGTAAATGAAAAAAAATTGTTATACTTGGGATTTTTAAAAATCTTTTTGTAAATTCATATTTTTCCCATACCAATGAAGTAGGACTTAAGGAATGAATAAACTAAAACTCATTTCTATCTGGCTTCAGAAGGTTTCAGGTCTACACATGAATATGGAAGCATCTGAAAGCTGGGCAATTCAGAGCACTTCAATCAAAGTTACAAAGCTACTCTGAAAAGAACTTAATCTGGATGAGGTAGAAAGCTGAAAAATTTTACCACTCTGCTTCCACACTCAGCATTCATTATGGAAACAGCAGGACTTACTCATTCGTTCACTCAGTAATTCCATGCATGCTGACTAAAGACAGGAAGGAGCTCAACGACAGAAGATGTCAAAGAGCTTAATGAGGAAGAAAAGAATATGCCAAAACCAAAAATCCAGTTCTAAAAGGCAGAGTGGGATGAGTAGGATAGAGAGTGAAAGAAAATGCCACAGAAATTCCCAAGACGGAGAGATTTCTGGCTGGAGTTGTATCTTCCTCTACAAAAGTAGAGGTATCTCTTTGGAATCAAGGTCAGAGTTCAAAGGTTAGAGGGACAGTAAAGCAGGAGAGGCCACAGGCATAAACTGTTCTTTCAAGAATCTGGAGATGATCAGAAAGAGCAAGGTGGGATAACAGGTGGAAGGAGTAGGAAAGGAAAGAAGAAATTTATTTGCTTGAGGGAGAGAAGAGCAGGAGCCAAGGGTACAAGAGCAATTAAAAGATGAAACAAACATTCTGGAGGAAGGAATCATTTCTCAGGCTTATAGAATGCACAAGCAGAGGGGGCTCTCAAGTCAGTGTGCCTGAAGTCCTTCTTATGTGCCAACACTTAGCAGCTGTTGGACACGCAATTTAACCTATCTGATGCTGTTAAACCATAAGATGAGGAAATAACAGTATCTATTCAAAGGTTTGGGGGTTTTTTCCCTTTTAAATAATTTGATGTTTAACTGAGGTAAAATCTGAAGGTCATCACCCCCAAAATTACCATATGTGAGTATGCCACTAAGGAGAATAAAAATCTTATCTGCTCATTGTTAAATTAATCACACTAACCAAAGCTTCCTCCAGGAACCTCAAAAGAAGAAAAATGCACTATATAGCTCAAAAGAAGAAAAAAGCACAAAATACTTCAAATGCTTATTTTCAGGTGAATGAGCTGATATGCATTAAAACCAAAACACACTAATAACTGTGTAACAGCAGCCTACAAAATATAAATCCAGTTCTTTAGGTTCACTGTGGTCAGAATAGTTTGCTCAATTTAAAACCAAATCGAAAATAATTAAATACATAAAATAGCAGGTGAGGGAGCTATTTCATTGTAGTCCATCCCATCATCACAGTTAAATTCCTGCTCTCAACTGATCAGCGCATGTGGACACAATAGGGCAGCTGAGGTGGACTTGAGATAATTCTCTGTCCCAATTTAAACAGTCCCAATTTAAAGATACAGATCTAGTTAAGTCTCATTCAAACACAAGTGGAAGTTGCTTCTTTCTCCTTGGGTCCTGTTTCTCAAATTGGTTCTTTGAGTGTTCCTGGTAACCGTTCCAATTTTGTCTTAGGAACTTCCATGGCAACTTCTTCAGGAAAGTTCTGGTAAATATATTCCAAGTAGACATCTGCTAAACTCCAAGTTATATGTTCCAACTCTAAACATCTGTAAAGTGTCCTTATTTCATACAGAATTTTGTGTTTTCTGACAAGGTGCACTGACTTGAGAATAAATGACTACTTTCCTTGGAGGTTTATGTGCTTAAATAGTGATAAGAAACTCTGTGGCAGAAATGCTGTAAAATATTTATAACTGTATAGTCTTATACAATATAGCCTTCTCATGGCTCTTTACTAAAACTGACACGTGCTTATAAAATGTGTCTGGTCCATCAGAAGCCGATGCCATAAGCCTCAATGCTTATTACTGCAGCGGCCCTACTTCTCACAGCCTAGCATCCATGAGGGGGATCCAGGCTGCTGAGGCCCTTCTCGCACTAGTCTCTCTCGTGTGGACACTGTCAAAGAAGGTATGGGCCCAACACTCCAGTGCCATCCATGTTCAGGGTTAGTGTATTGCAGGTGAGTTGTTACACACTCCTTAGCAGTGTGTAACATTTCGACAGCCACTGTGCTGCTGTCCGCATCAATTTACATCTTTCCTAGGATCTCACGAGCATCCTCCTCATCAGACACCTTAACTGATATATTCTGTGCATCTTGCAGCACCAGTTCTGCTGATCAAAAGTGGCCCATGAGGTACTGGCTGGGCTTCTAACCCATATAAAGTTTGAGTTTAGTCCCTAACACCTCTAATCGCTTGTTTTACTGAATAAAACTGTGTGCCTGTGAACTGCTATCCTGAAGGAGACTTTGGAGGAACCAACTACGAGACAGTGTGATTAGTCTTTTGCCTCTACTGAATAACGCATTCTTTTCCCATTGGTTTGTGTCGGTTCCTTTGTCATATACCTAACTTATACATATGGAATTCTATATACACACACATATGCACTCATATACCTATTTAAGGGCTACATATTCTCACGCAATTTATTTTTTACATTAATTCTGCCAAAAGTAAAACTATAATGCTTTAACTACTACAGCTCAAAATATTTTTAAATTTCTGATAGGTCAGTCTCCTCACTTTTCATCTTTTCTAAAAATGTCTTGGTCTTTCTCTCTCACTTGTTTATCGTTTCAGTTGAAATTCTGGAATCGTTTGGTCATGTTCCAAATAATGTATCTATGTTAGCATTTATAAGTAAATTTTGGAAGAATTATTATTGTGTGAAATAAAAATACAAATATTAAAAAAATGACAACTGTTTGAAAGATTGTTGAAAGAAAATTATTCTCTGTCACAACCAACTCAGAAAGGTGCTATTTCCCCACCACAAGATTTCTTTCCTCACTGTGTTAAGAGAAAATGAAATGTTTTTAACACTGCTTCATTAGTGTATGATTTTGCTGGCAAAAGAGCAGTGAGAAAGGAGCTCTTGTACACTTGTGGAGGGAGACATGCCACACGCATTCTGGAAAACAGTTTGGCCACATATCTAAAACCTTTACCAAGAAAGTTTTCTAGTCTTTGACTCATTAATTTCACAGCTGGGAATCTGTGAGAAAAAATCAACAAGGTATAATTTAATATTTATGTACAAGATATTCATTGTTGTACTGTATAGCAAAAAAATAGATATAACTTAAATTTGTAACAACAAGAAGTAAATAAATTAGGGTTCATTCAAAGGACAAGTTATCCACCTGCTAAAAGACAATGTATTTGTGAAGAAGTGTTAATGACAGACAAAATGTTCCTGATATTAAACAGGGGAAAATAGTAGGATTTTAAATATTGTATTCAATATGACCCAAAAGCAATATGTAAAAAATATATAGGTACCTATACACCAGAAACACATACGCTGACATATATGGTACTTAAAAGCATAGGCTTTGGAAACAAACCAACCTGGTTCAAATCCCAGCTGTGCTGCTTTCCAGCTATGTAACCTTGGGCAAGTTAATTAACCTCTCTGTGCCTCAGAATGCTCACCTGGAAAATGGGGAGAATAGTACCTACCTTACAGAGTTGAATCGACATTAAAGGAGATAATTCATGCAAATGGCTTAGCACCACGCCTCGCACACTGTGAGCACTCACTAACTACTAGCCATTATTGGCATCAAAACGAACAGGAGGAAATGCACCAAAATGTTAACAGGGGTTATCTCTGGATAGTAGAATTCCAGGTCTTTTTAATTTTCTCTTTTATACTCTTCTTGTTTTTCCAAAGTTTCTATAATAAGTATTAATGGAATCAGAAAGAAAAATGTGTTATAAAAAAGAATGCTTGATTAATTATCAGTATTTGCCACGTGCGCTAGTGGATGAATGCAAGAAGGGGACAACACTGGTCAGAGAGTGAGCATACCTTTCCCTCATTTCTACTCATTTCTCAGTCTGCTGTAGCTGCTGCCCCCCTTCAGAAGCCTCACTACTCACAGGCGCAGTTCCTTGGAAGCCGTCCTCTCCAGTGTTGGTCACAGGAAACTCGCCTTGCCAAATGTTGGCATAATGTTGGCCTTTTGGCTGAAGTTTGTTGCCCCAGGGGAAAAGTCTGTCAGAAGAGACACAGACATCAGCCTGTCAAACAGGCACAGGCTTGTGGATTAAAGTCAAGAGAAGGAATGCAATGAAAGAGAGAACATTGCTCACTTGTTCTGAGTGAGCTATGTTTTTAAATTTTTAATATACAAATAAAGTTTTTAATCAGGATTTTTTTTTAACTTCCACGTAACTAGCTCATGTCAAGTTCACAACCACCTCAGTCTCTCCTTTTCAGAAGGCCTGAAATAAATCACATAACTAAAAGGACTTAGAGAAGGCTGGGAAAGTAGACATCATTCTGGACTTATATGGTAGCATGATCAGGGACCATCACACCACAATTTTTTACACAGCCTTGGCTATTTTAAGGAACCTTTCCTAGAAGATGTGACCCAAACATGAGTTTTCCGTCTCATGGCTCTAGAAGCAGAGAAATACCACAGCTTCAGGAGACGCCTAAAATACGAACATCCAAAAAGCAAGGCAGCCTGCCCAGAGGCTCTAAGAGGACTATGTAACACCGGGGGCTGGATTGCTGGAGCATGCTCTGGGCTACAGGGAGCCAACTTCACCAGACACTTGGGTTTGGGGGGCTGTGAGGAACTGGTGACCCACGCATCAGTGTCTCCTTCTAATTAACTTTGTGGAGATGAGGAGGCCCAGTAAGAAAGAGCTGTTGTTGTTTTTGCTATTGTTTTAAATCAACTTTCTAACCAAAGTTAACTAAGTTCCACAGATTTAGAAAAAGGTCAACATATTGTTAGGCAAGATGAGATATACCCGCCCCGCCTCCACCGGCCCTAAGTACCTATTTTGCAGGCCTCCTCGACAGCTGTATTCCCACTCAGCTTCCGTGGGCAACCGCTTTCCTGCCCAGGCACAGTAGGCAACAGCATCGTTCCAGGAGACATGGAGAACGGGATGATCCGGCCTGGGGAAGAGTGAGAGCACAGTGAAGGGGGCATGCACTGGAACAGGAAATAGGAACCAGCTTCAGCAAAGCGCCACTATCACCTTCAGTTCACTCCGTGACACTGAGGTGGTCCTGGTCCCCAACTCAAGCCCCAGCCATGTCACATCTGTCACCCTCCACTATGGGTTTCTCACATCTCAGGCTCCCAAATGGGTTATAATTAGTCTTGGAACTAGACTCAAAACATTTCTTCACTTTGCAGGCAGGCCTGGACCCCCACAGAATCTCACTTGGTACCATGGATGTGGAGATGCATCCCCCAGTTCCCCCTTTAAGGAACAAGTGCTGCTCCAACTGCTGGGAGTGTTGTCGGCAGAAGCTTCCAGCTATCGGCTCCTTCAAGGTTTTCCACAGCTGCAGAGAGCCACCTCAGAGCCACCAATGAAGAACTACAGCAGAGGCATAAAAGCCCAGCCATTTCGGTCCACCACAGCTCAACCCTATGGGCCATATATAGCTCTAGAGCTCCCTGTGGGGTTGGCTGGGACTTGCTGGGCCTCCATTGTGGTCTTGGCATCTCCCTCTATCCAATCCTGCTTCCTCCCTGCCCCTCCCACAGGTGTGGATCCCTAATAAATATTCTGCACACCAAGCTCTATCTGAGCATCTACTTCCAACCCAACCGGTGATACTTGGCTCTAAACTTTGTGTCTTTCCACTACAGATTAGGCAGATACATTTGCCTCACTCCAGCAGACTCCAAGTAAGTCTTTATTTTTTCTAAGGGTATAGAAGAGTAGGAAAGGTTGGGGGGAAAGTTTGAGAATCAGAGGATACACACATTTACCCACCACCAGATAACTTTAATTCCCTGTTCACTGTTTTTCAGGTAGACAACACATTCCTAGTCCATTTCTTAAACATCTTTGAATTCCCCATAGTAATTACACTATGACTTTTACTGATTCTTTCAACAAATGCTTACGGAGTACCTATTATGTGCTAGTCACTGTTTTTAGCACTGATAAGAGATGTACTTTTCTCAGAAGATAGACTCAGTCAGTGGATAAAATACATTCCCCTCTGGGTTTTCCTTCTTCCCTTAGCTTTTTCTTCTACTATTAAATTCAGGAAAGAAGATATTAATTGGGAGCTAAGAGGCCCAGTCAACCCGTGGCACCCAAGAATCCTATGACTTTCTGCCTCCCAGTCTATTTCTACCACAGAGGCTGCCAACAGAGGCTTTCAAAGATTTCTGACACTTGTCAAGGGGTGTATCCCTAAAGCTGAACTTCATGTACTTCCAGCTCCCTGACAATGAGGGCAATAACCAGGAATGTTGTCAAAAATAGAGGCTCAAAAATCCCATCTGAAAAATTGGGTTAGGAGAACAGTTTTCTCGGGCTGTTGAGACACTGAGTCCTGACCCAAACCTTTCTCCATCTCCAGGGCTTAAAGTGCTACTCTATTTTGGCTTGAGATAATTATTTCCTTGCCACCCTGGAGACTTGCTGACCGACTTGCCGCTATGTGGTTTTTTAGTCAGATGGTACCTTCAAAGTTCAAAGTATGTCAGTCCAGGACTAGAGATAACAAGGATCCTATACCCAAGGCACGAGATTCTCCAGCGGCCAACTGGTAGGACACAACTACTTATCCATAAGACAGTCTTCTTCTAGTTAATGACTCACTCATGAGAGAGAGCAAATAGACAGGCTGCAAAGATTAAACACATGTCATGAGATTTGTAATAGGCCTGTCAAGGGAGGAACAAAAATCAGCAAGAAAGAATTCTTTGACAGGCCAAATAAGGAAGGAAAGAGGCCATTTATTATGAGCCTTCTATGAGCTAGGCACGGTGTTTGGATCTTATTTCCTGCCATTTTATTTTCCTACCAACCGATTAGAGTTTGTCATTCTCACCCTTTTACAGATGAAGATGGCCACTGAGTTCCTTTTCAACAGCAAGAGAATCTATTTTGGAATAAAACATGTTAACCAGGGAAAGAATCACCAGCCTCACCTGTGTAGAACAGTCGAGTCGGGCCCTTCTGGCTGTCTCCAGTTAGCGCCTTTAACAGGTAACCACCAGGGAGCAGCTGCAACCTCAAAAGCAACCCAGAAGAAGCTGAGGTTAGCTATGATGACTCTAGAAAAACACTGACTCAGTACATGCAGAAAAAATCTCACGGCCTTCAACTTCCATTTGAGTTACCACAAATATCTTTACCAGAATATCAAAAATAAAGATTTATATGTAAACAAATCTTTAACAAAAAAATATTATTTCATATCATACAGCACCACGTGACTAAATAAGTATGTATTTAAATGGTATGTATCTCCAAGAATTTTCAAAAGATGAACTGCTCGCTAATCCTCTATAATCTGTAACAAGAGAAACAGGTAGTACTGCTCGTATTTAAAAGATGGGGAAACAGAGTTAACCTTACAATTAAGTGCTGGGCTAAAGGTCAACCAAGGTAGTCAGAGATCAAGCCGAAGCATATGGTTAAAAGCTGGAGTGTGTTTTCAAAAGACCCTGGTTCAATTTCCAGCCCAACGTTAGCTGGAGTTGTGGCCCTGGGCAAGTTCACTGCTTCCCTGGCTCCTCAGAGTCCTCATCTGTGAAATGGGAGCAGGGCCCTCTGCCTCCCCTACCTCAGACTACAGAGCAGGTCGAATTAGACAGGATTGGGAAATATTCAGCCACTGTTCCCAGGACCTTAACTCCTACTTGACAGTTCTATTAACTCAAATAACAACAGCGAGTGGCCCTCGTTTAGTGACCGGTTAAGAACTTGGCTTCGGAGCCAGGCAAAACAAGATGTGAATCATGGCTCTGCCACTCACGGTGTGACCCTTGGCAACCTACTGAACCTCACCAAGCCTGTTTTCTCATTTGTGGATGGAGACAGTAACAATATCTACCTCATGGGTTATTACAAGGAGGAAACTCACCATACATAAAGGGCTTATGACTATGCCTAGCACTTAGCAAGCACTCAGTAAAGGGAACCAGTCTCAACCACAGCCTCACGATAGGCAGGAGCACAGCCACAAAAAAGCATCATCATGGTTGCTAATACTAACTAAAGAAGAGAAGTTTGCAAATGATTCTTCTAACATAAACTAGAGCAGATTCAAGGTTATCCCCATGACAATGTTACTCTCAAACATTTGCATCCTGATGAGCTGGGCTGAGTGGAGAAGGGAGATGTGTTCCTGCTAACAATTAAAGCAATCACTGAAAACACCAAACCCTGTTCTTGTTCTTTTTTCACATCAGCATAATCAAAACATTCATGGTATTCCAAACACAATTTGATGGAAAAAGCCAAATTCTTTTACATTTCAACGAAAGAGGCTTTATGTCCTTAAAGGACACTACTGCAGGGTGTTTTATTTTTCAGAGAGCAGGAGAGGTGAAAAGCACGGCTCCTTTCTTTTTCATCTCTGCCACTGCAGAAACTTTAATCTGTGGATGTTCTCACTGACTAGACTTGATGTTAGGTGCCAGTGACAGGTAATTCACTCCGTGTCAAGGGAAGATGTGCACAGAAAGCCCAGGTTATCCCACTCTTGTGTTTCAGTATCTTCAGATCATTCACCCAACTTTCCCGGCTCCCAACACTGATAAGACAGGCCACCAGAAGGTTGTATTTCTTAGATTAAAAAAAAAAAACTAAACTAAAAAAGACAAATATGGCAAAATGTTAACCTCTGTTAAAATCTGGGTGGTAGAAACTAGAATGCCTGTTTTTCTTGTACCCTTTTGTGCTTTAAAATATTAACAATTTTTTTTTAAAAACCTGAGTTATTTATCTATTCCACTACTGATAGGCGTTTGGGTAGCTTCCAGTTTGGGGCTGTTATGAATAGAGCTACTTCTGTGAACATTCGTAAGAGCTCATGCTGCTTGGTTAAGCATGCATATGCATTTCCGTGGACTGCACACCGTGGAGCGGAAGTGCTGGATCACAGGGTATATACATGCACAGCCTTCGTAAAGACAGCCAAACACAAGCCCTAAAGGCAGAAGTCCTCCAAGGTTTCCTACCCCTTCTTCAGGGGAACCTCCACGGAGTCGGCTTATATAGAGGAGACCCTACAGCGGCCGCTCCCGTCGCCTCTTAGTCCATTCCTTTTCATCTCCTCTTCCCCTCAATTCACTCTGGTTACAAATATTTATTGAGCACCCACTATCTGCCAGGCGCTAAGCCTGGTTCCTAAAGGGGATCTTCAACTCTCAGAAATCCTCAGAATATGATTTAAGACAGTTGGTATATTGATAGTTTTTAAATTATTTTTGCACAAAGTGGGGTACAAAGTGTGAGACTAGTCACCTCATTTTCCTTCAAAAATGTCTATAAAACTCAAATTGGTGGGTCCAGGTACCACCTTACGTATCAGTGCTATAGTTCTGACTCAATTTCCTCCCCACCATACACACACACTTTCTCTCAGTCTAGATATCTGCTTTTTATTTCTCCCAGTATCTCTCTTTTCTGAAAATTTTCACATTATCTTAGCAACCCACCCAAAATAGACCACTAGCCTACATGACTTGAAGTCATGTAGAAGCGAGGATCACCTATCTCACATACACAGTGAAACAGGAAGAACAGACTCTGGCTCGAGCATGGGGAAGGGGACACCATGATAACACTATCCTTGTCCACAGGACACAACCTAGTTTTTCTCCGAAGTAATAAGACCTGAAGTAAGTATATAAAGATATAGGTACAGTATTATAACATTATTTCTAATTAAAAATTACAAAATAACCCATCCTCAGCCTCCATCCATCCAAAGGAATACCATATATAGTTATAAAAATATACTCCAATGTGGAACTATGCATATGATATGTTATAAAGATAACCTATAGAATAGAATACATATTTGATTCTGTTTCTGTGAAATATATGCATATGAATGTATGTTAATACAATCAGAAGAAAAATTTTCAAGAATATACATGCACTTAACAGGGGTCAAGCATTGGGGAGGTAATATTATACTTCTTTACAAGGACCATATTAGTATAATAGGATTTCTCAACCTCAGCACTATTGACCTATTAGGCCAGATAATTCCTTGTTGTAGGGGGGCTGTCCTGTGTACTGTAGGATGTTTAGCAGCATTCCTGACCTCTCCTGACTAAACACCAGTAGCAACCAAAAATGTCTCCAGGCACTGCCAAAAGTCCCCTGGGAGGCGCAAATTAACCTACTGCACTATGGTAATCAGGAAAAAAAAAAATAGATTGTTTTTCTTAAATGTTCATATATAATTCTTAGCGGCATAGTGGTAAGAGCATCCAACCCTGGAGCCAGGCTACCCAAGTTTGAACAATAGCACCACCTTTTACAAGCTGCATGATCCTTATTTAATCTCTCTAGGCCTCAGTTTACTCATCTGTAAAATGAGAATACTACAACTATCTACTTCCTTGTGTTGCTGTGAGGATTAAATGAGGAAATGTATGTACTGGGGCCGGCCCAGTGGCACAAGTGGTTAAGCGCACGCGCTCCGCTTTGGCTGCCTGGGGTTCACAGGTTCGGATCCCAAGCGTGCACTGATGTACCACTTGTCGAGCCACGCTGTGGTGGCGTCCCACATAAAGTAGAGGAAGATGGGCACAGATGTTAGCCCAGGGCCAATCTTCCTCAGCAAAAAGAGGAGGATTGGCAATGGATGTTAACTCAGAGCTGATCTTCCTCACCAAAAAAAAACCACACTAAAGGAAATGTATGTAAAGAGTTTAGAACAGTGCCTGGTACAGAGTAAGAATTACACAAGTGTTAGCTATCATTATTAGTATTATTCATTCATGTTACTGCATGTTGCAATATTCTCATAGAACTTTCAAAAAACATATATTCTAATTAGTGAAAATCTGCCCCATAGAACTTCTTCAGCATGAGCCCCAACCACCCGCCAGTTCACCGTTTTCAGAAGACTGATAGGCTGAGAAGTGTCATTCCCAGAGAATTCTCAAGAAGAGTATGTAGTTGTCATCTTCCATCCCAGTTATGATGTGAAACCATCTACACATAAACTAACCCATTCCCTGAAGCAAGTGGCACTGTGAGATGGGGACAGAGGGGGGCAGTGTGAGGGGTAAAAAGAATGCAGGAGGAATCCACATTCACCAAGCCCCAAACTGAAGCTTGGGGACCTGTAAGAGTACCATACCACATGCCCATCTGTGAGAAAGACCACAAGTCCCCACTGTAATGGTCAGACATAGAGTCACGGACCATTTCCCCACCTGACACATGAAGAAGGAAAGACAAGTAATCAAAGTCACCATATAAGAGAAGACTGATGAAATCAGCTAGCCAAGTTGCCCTGGGAAAACCATGATGTTTTCTGGCCAAATTTATGGCAAATCCCATCCAATGTAACCAAATGCTTTCTTTTCCCAAATGTCACTGTTAATTTCATGTTTTTAAGAACTTGTTCTTGAGCCGGCCCCATGGCTTAGCGGTTAAGTGCGCGCGCTCCACTACTGGCGGCCCGGGGTTCGGATCCCGGGCGCGCACTGACGCACTGCTTCTCCGGCCATGCTGAGGCCGCGTCCCACATACAGCAACTAGAAGGATGTGCAGCTATGACATACAACTATCTACTGGGGCTTTGGGGGAAAAATAAATTAAAAAAAAAAACTTGTTCTTGAAATCCTGGTTGTGACTTGAAAATAAACGCTATTCTACTACATTTAGGAACTTAATGAAAGAAGCAACTTTTGAGAGTCATATATGAGTCAGTTAATCAAGGTTACACTGCAAATTATGACATCTCTAATTCCTTTTCTTTAACAGGAACAGTCCTGAGGTGTGTTGTTTGCGAGCAGCAGCAGCAGCATGAGTGGATTGGCATCTATGATAAACTTTACCCTGAGAAGAAAATTTTTTTGGATGTGGTTGCTCACCTACACATTTTCTGTTCAACTGAGACACTTCCAGAGTCATAAGCACTCCCTCATATCCAGGGGGAAAAGGACTTTAACTTGACCTATTTCTAGTCAACCATCTCCATAGCAACTGTCTTGGGTTTAAGTTGAAACAGCTGTACCAGACAGCCAGCGACCAATTACA